CCTACTTAGAACAAGCTAAGCAAAGCACAGGGACCGCGGTTCAATCCCCAGCACCACATGCCAGCCAGCCCCGCCCCCTGGTGGGCTGAGCTGGCCACACACACACACACACACACACACACAAAATAAATAAATAAAATTTTAAAAAAACAAAGAAGAAGGAGGGAGGAGTTGGGAATAATATCCTAAATTTATCCCACAAGTCTTGGTTTCTGTGTGCACAATTACATTTGGTTTTTTTTGTTTTTGTTTTTTTCAAGATTACATTTGAACAAGGTTATTCATCAGAAGGGGCCGGGGAGATGGCTCAATGGAATAAGCACTTCCCTGGCAAGTGTAAGGGCCTGAGTTCAATCCCCGGTTCCAAAAAAATAAATAAAAATAAATTTAAAAGATTATTCATCAGAGGCCTGTGGGGAACACTGATGAGAGATTGGAAACAACCTAAAGAACGTCAATAGGGGGCAATTAGGTGACACATTGACAGAGCATAAAAAAGGGGATGAAGGCCTCTCTCTAAGGACAGTAAGTGATCTCCAAGAGACGCTAGGTATTGTAAGTGGAGGGAAAAGGCAAGCACAAACAATTATAATATATCCTCACACTTGAGGGAAAATACAGAGAAGAGGGCTGATGGTATAGCTCAGCAACTAAGTGCTTGCCTAGCATGTGCATCCCTGCCACTGCAAAAATAAATAGTAAATAAAACAATGCAAGATAAAAAACCTATGTATTGGTAGGTAGTCCAATATGTACACAAAATATTTCTCAAAGCTCACAAGGGATTTATTACATTATCTATCCTGGGCTGGGCATGGTGGTGCATGCCTGTAATCTTAGTACTCAGGAGGCTGAGGCAGAAGGATTGTTCCAAGTTTGAGACCACCCTGGGCTACAAAGTGAGCCCAAGGCCAGCCCGAACTGGGTAGCAAGACCCTGTCACAAAAAAAAAAAAGGCCTGCCCCTTGGCTCAGTTCTTTAAGTGGCTGCTTCAACAAAGCAGTCAGGCTCAGGTTGCTGGGGTTCGATCCCCAGGACTCAAACATGCCCTGAAGGCATTTGGAGCCAGCCCCCCAAAAAAACCCTCAAAAAGACAAACAAACAAATAAATAAAAATAAACACATTATCTGTCCTTAAGAAGGTGCTATGCATTGCATACCACATGATCCAAAAGGCCCATGGCTAAAAGCTTAGTTTTCAGCCAGCGATGCTACTGGGAGATGGTGGAGTGTTTAGGAGATAGGACCATTCCAGTAGAAGGAAGCCAGGTCAGTGGGGGTGTGCCCTGGAAGGGAACATGTGGGCCTTGGCCTCTCTTCCTCTACTTTTTCTTTACTTCTTGACTGCCTTGAAGTGAGTAGCTTCTTCCCCATGCTCTAGCCATGATGTACAGCCAGGCCACAGGCTTAAAAGCAAGAAGGCCAATGACCATGGACTGAATCTCTGAAACTTTGAGTCCAAATAAATCTTTTCTCTCTTTTTTTTCTCTTGGTTGTCTGTTTGTTTATTTTGTTGAGATAGAGTCTCACTATATATCTCAGGCTAGCCTTGAATTCACTATGTAGCCAGGGTGGCAGGATTAGGGGTATGTGCCACCATGCCTAGCTCCTTTTTTTTTGTGGTACTGGGGACCAAACTTGGGACCTTGTGCTTGTCAGGGAAGTGCTTATTCCACTGAGCCATCTCCCAGGCCCCCCACGAAAGGAAATTTTTGCTGAAGACTTATCTATGAAATATCTACCAAAAAAAAAAAATCTACAAATGTTTTTTTTTTTGTTGTTGTTTTTGCTTTTTTGGCTACTTCAGACTGCCTTAGAGGCAAGTGTGGCTCAGTTTTTGAAGCTGGGAATCACACAAACAGTATTTTTTTGTGTTAAATCCTTGAAAGGGAAAATGTTAATCCAGAGATTCAAATTCTAATACAAGCAAAAGTAAGGAAAAGAGTGAAATAGGTGACCATGAGGCATCAGGGAGTAGTAGAGATGGCGGCAAGCAGAGCCTGACCCATCTGAAGGGGCAGCCCTACTCAGCACTTGAGCCACCCAGGAATGCAGGTCCTGATGTCAGCTGCTGATTTCCGGACAGAAACGGATGCTGGAGGTCATGTGTGATTATGGAGGGCAGTCTGGACACTTGGGAGAGAGAGGATGGATGGTGGAAGGTGTGTCAGACACCCTCACACCCACAGCTGGCAGACCTGTCTGGCATTCCCTCGCTCCTCACCTCAGCTACCTTCAACTTGGAGACTGGAAAAAAGAAATTATTTAGGTTTTCAGCCTTCCTGGCAGCTACAAGGGGCCATTTGACACCATTTTGGCCAACAAGATCTGCAAAGTGTCATTAGATTCCATTGGGATGTGAGTCAGGTGTGCTGATGCACGCCTGCAAACCCAGTGATATAGGGAGAAAAACTGATCTTGGGTGGGTGACTCCAAAGGATACTGGAAACCTACAAATGACATAGGGGGAAAAAGATCTCTCGACCTGACCTGGATGAGTTCATGTTCTCTGAAACTGAAGAATGAATTTTAGGAACAAATGGAGGTTATGAGCAGAATATATTTATTGAGGAAAAGAAAGCTCCTGTCCAAGAGAGGGACAGGAGGGAGGCCCGAGTGGGTAGTTCCTCTCTTCCAGGGACTTTTATAGAGGTGAGGTGGGTCTAAGGTGGTGGAGAAGACATGGGAACTCGCTTAGGTGGGCATGAGGTGGGACAAAACTATGGTCAACCAGTGAGATTACAAGTACTGTTGCTCAGGTTAAATTGATTACATCCAGTACCAAATGGGAAAGTGAGTCACAAATGGGAAAGCGAGTCACAAATGGGAAAGCGAGTCACGCGGGCAAGAATATGGGACAGGATTTATTCCTGTTGAGGTTTGGGCTAGTGATTCATATGAGCTCTTTCAAGGAGATACCTATTTAGAATATCAATCCCTAATGCCCATCCCTAGGGAAGTATGTAGCTGTGCTTCCTCTTTTTGTCTTGGTCTTGAGATGTGGCCCATATGGTAGTGTCTGTCTCTTCCCAATTATAAAGTCACCTTGGCTTCCATCTTGTCTCCTCGAGGGCCTGGCCCTATCTGACTACCTATAATATTTCTATCTAACTTGGCTGCCTGTAACACCAGCATTCAGGAGGCTGAGGCAGGAGGAGCCCTGCCAGTTTGAGATCAGCCTGGGCTACAAAACTGAGCTCAAGGCCAGCCTGAACTGTATAGTGAAGTCCTGTCTCAAAAACAATTTTTTGGGCTGGTGAGATGGCTCAGTGGTCTAAAGCACCTACTTAGAACAAGTTTAGCAAAGCACATGGACCGCAGTTCAATCCTCCAGCACCACATGCCAGCCAGCCCTGCCCCCAGGTGGGCTGAGCTGGCCACACACACACACACACACACACACATACACACACACTAAATAAATAAAATAAACTTTAAAAAAAAAACAAACAATTTTTTTTAAAAAGAAAGAGGGCCAGGGAGATAGCTCAGTAGAATAAGCACTTGCCTGGCAAGTGTAAGGGCCTGAGTTCAATCCCTGGTTCAAAAAAATAAATAAATAAATAAATAAATAAATAAATAAATAAATAAAAAAGGAGCTATAAATAAAGGACCGCTTTTTAAAAAAAGGAAGAAAGAAAGAAAAGATTCCACTGGGGATGGGCTTTAGGAAATTATTTTTCGGGGCCAGGGAGATGGCTCAGTAGAATAAGCACTTCCCTGTCAAGTGCAAGGATCTGAGTTCAATCTCTGGGTCTGCAAAAAAAAAAAAAAAAGGAAATTATTTCTCTTCAAAATAAGAAACGAATGTTTTCAATTCACTCTCCATTTAACTATTTCTTTCTTCCCATCTTAAATGTGGATATGCAACAGTAGGAGGAGCAGCAATATAGCAAACAAGGAGGAAAAGGCAAAGGGATTACTAGACATCAGCTCTGATATCCCTGAGGCTGGTGAAACACAGCTGAGCCTGGTTGATCTGCAGGTCCATTGATAGGAGAAAATATAAATACCTAACTGTCCAGGCTGCTGTAATCTGTGTTTTTTTAACTACATTTTTTTTTAAATTTAAGACTTTACTTTATTTAGCAAAATCATTTCTTTGATTTTGTCAATAAAATAAAAACAAACGGAAAAGAGACAACACTGAAGTGCGTGTTCACCCAGCTGGCCCGCTGTTTCCTTACCTGTACCGGAGAATCAGGGCGCCGAGGCTGACTAACAACTACCACACAGGTCCACTAACAACCTGGGACTTTTCCAATGTAATTGTCAACTTTTTTTTTTTTAAATAAATATATAAAAAACCAAAAAGTGAGTGGAACCAGCATTATGATGTATTACAGAGTATATGTAACCCTGCAGTCGGCGGGGCGGGTCAGTCAGTAAAAACCTTATGAGACCATCTATAGTTTCAGAGTGATCATTTTTGCAGACTACTAATACAGAATCCAACAGGTGAAAAATATATCACTTCCTTTTCTCTCTCTTTTTTTTTTTTTTGCGGAAACTGGGGATTGAACTCAGGCCTTTGCACTTACCAGGGAAGCGCTTATTCCACTGAGCCATCTCCCTGGCCCTATCACTTTCTTCAGATGACAGCAATGATCTGATAAGGATTTGACAATGGCGCTAAGGTGGGGAAAATAAAAGGAATTACAGGGGCTGGCGAGATGGCTCAGTGGTCTAAAGCACTTACTTGAAACAAGCTTGGCTAAAGCCCAGGGACCGTGGTTCGATCCCCCTAGCACCACATGCCAGCCAGCCCCGCCCCCTGGTGGGCTGAGCTGCCCCCACACACACACACAATAAATAAATGTTAAAAAAAAAAAAGATCTAAAAGGAATTACAGAGCATAGCCTCTACTAGAACAAGCTAACTTTCCAGATTTTCCAAAATAAAATAAAATAAAAAATAAAACAAACAAAAAACACTTCAACATGAAGCTACCATACACAGTTCTTCTATTTTTTATTTGTAAAAAGTTCAGAATTTGCAATTTAATCCTGGGATTTTAATGTGAAGGACAGTTTTGGTCTGGACTTCCCCTTGCCCAGGATAATTTTTTGTTCTTTTTGTTGTCGTTGTCGTTCCTGTTCTAGTTTCATCCTTTCCTCATGAATCTTTCTTTGTTCTTCAACAATTCTCAACTGTTCTCCAGCCAGCTTGGCCTGCGCTTCCGCAATTTTTCGGTTATTCTCTTCCAGTATTCGCTCCAGCTCCTCACGCCTTGCTCGTTCTTCCTCGTCTCTGGCTTTCTGTGCTGCAAGCTCAGCTTGTCTCTGTCGCTCGAGTTCTTCGAGCAACTGCTTTTCCATGATGCACTTGGCTTCCTCCACCCTTCGGAGAACCTCGCGCTCAATTTCATCCTTTTCTCCAATTCTTCCTCTATCCTTTTTGCCACCAACTCTTCCACTCTTCGTGCTGTTTCTTCCTCGATGCGTTTCTCTTCTGTTTCCTGCTGCCGAATCTTTCACTGGCGCTGGAACTCGGCCTTCTCCGCCTCCTCCTCGCGCTTCTGCTTCTCGGCGAGGCTGCTGAGCTTGCTCACCGTGCGCCCAAAGAGGTCGAGACGGTTGTGCAGGGACAAGGCGCGCTCCTGCTCGCGCCGGGAAGCCGCCGCGTTGGTGGAGCGCCAGCGCGAGCTAAACATTTTATAGAAGGTGAATGTTTGATAAAATTCAGATGAGCAAGGAGAGAGGCTGGGCAGGAGTCAGTGGAGAATAAAACCTAAAGAGCTGTTTTCTGTGAAGGTGGCAAAATCCCAAACGTGTTTTACAGGGGCCTTGCCAGGTAGCCCAGTTGTTTAAAGCCCCACTTGGGCACAGGCAGTCAGGCGCATAGGGTCGCGGTTCCAGTCCCAGCTCCAGAAACTGCACCAGACCCGCCCTTAAAGGCAGCCTGAAGTAGCCCACCCCCTCAAAAAAAAAAACCCTCTCAAACCACATTTTATTTTTTATTTTATTTTTTTTTTTCAAACCACATTTTACAGCAACAATTTATTGATTACCAGGGGCCAGGCACAGCAGTTTACACGCATTAGCTCTTTTAATTCTCCGCATAACCTTCTGAGTCACGCTTTCCTTTCTCCCCATCATTCAGAGGAAACGCAGCCGAGTGGAGCGGCAGAGAGAAACTGAACTCGGGCAGATGGAATCCCGAGCAAGATGGAACCTATGACTCTTTAGTTAAAGGCGGGAGCGGTGCGCCGCAGCGCGGCCAGCCCTGCTGTGCTCAACCGGTGAGGATCGAGGCAGGGTGGGGACAGGGGTAGGAGCAGGGGCAGGGCGCGGCGCTCAGACAGCTGTGCACCCCCACATGCCCTCCGGCACCTGCTTTTCCAGCAGGCGGGGCGACTCCCAGCTGCCCTCGGGCAGGCCACCGCCTTGCCTCTGAGCTTGCTCTGTCACCACGGGCGGTGGGGAAGCCCAGCCCCAAAGATCCCTGCGGTGATGCCAGGACTGTGCAGGTGACAGCCCGGTACGGGGTACAGACTGGGACAGCAGTCGGGCCAGCGCGCCGGAGACCTCTGGCACCGGCTGGCAGCGATGTGACTCTGGAAGCTGGGTGGCCCTCTCTGAACCTCAGTCTCCCCCTCTGTAAAGTGACGGTGGCACAGCACCTTCTGGCGGGTGGATAAAGCCCCGAGCCTCAGCGTGGCACGGATGCGCGGAGTTCTCCTGTGCACGCCGGGAGCCGCGTGTGGATCGGGCCCGGCGATCCCGACAGGCGACCCCGCCCCAGCGCTGGCCCCAAGCATTTCCTGCTGGGCCTCAGGAAATACCAGACCCCCGCCCCCGCGCTCCTGGAGTCAGCAGCCGGGAACTGACTGCTGCGCCCGGCACAGCCCTGCCCCCCCTTCCGGCCACCCGGCTTCGCTCCTAATCCGCCGCTAGGGATGCGGGCCCTGTGGGCTGGACCTTTGGGAACCTCCCACTACAGCCTAAGCTTTCTGGATGCATCTGCGCCTCTCCTCCCTCCTACCGTTTCTTTCCAGCTTTTCCTTCCTTAACTGCAGACATTTTAAATCTAGATCGGAAGAGCAAGGAGTTAAGCAAGACCAAGTGGTTCAGACAGTTCATACCGTCAGCAAGCGTTTATTTAACATTTACTTTGTGGCAGGACCTGAGCCAGGGCTTGGGCAGGAGGCGACTTAAGTCTGTGTGGGTTGGGTTTGCACTAGAGGAGATGGGGGTGGTGAAGGAGTAAGTACCGGGCTCAGAGCCAGGTGTGCCACAGAGCTTGGCCAGTCTCAGGGAGGTGGCCAGGGCTTCCCTTCCGGAGGAAAGAGCTTAAGAGTTGCTGCTGAGTGCAGGTGGGAGAGCAGGTTGGCAGGTGGGTGCAGGGCGGTGACGCCGGAGGTATGGGATGCAGCTGGTTGCTCAAGATCACCCAGAGTGAGGCTGGAATTTGACCCCATGGTATAGGAACTGGGATCTGAATCTGGCTTTTGAAAACAGCCCACCTGGAACCTGGGCACAGATGGAGCCTCCTCTTCGCTGTGTAAGTCAAGCTTCAGCTTCCGGGCAGGCTTGTAACAGGGGCAGCCGGTGAAGGGAGACCCTGGCCTGGGAGAGGCTGCAGCGGAAGTCCCCGTGGGTGGTAAGTCTGTGGTGACCCTGATGTGGTTTCCTGAGGGCCCCGTGGTTCCAGCATGGGCACTGTGCCTACCTCCTGTGGCTTCTTCCTGTACAGAGAGCTCTGATTGGCACACACTTTGCTTCTTTGGGCAGGGAGCCCAGGTAGGACCCTTCTCACCAGTTTCTTGGACCTTCTTGGAGCCTGGGACAGTGTTCCTGTATCACTGAAGAAGAAACCAGATTCAGAGTGGGACAATGAGTAGTACAGGTTGCCCAGCAGAAACGTTTTGCCTCAGCGATCTAAAGTGCCTGCTTAAGCAAATTTAAGCGGTCTCAGGGGATGAGGTCCAAACCCCAGCACCACATGCTGTGCCAGCCCCACCCTCAGGGTGGGCTGAGCCGCCAAAAAAAAAAAAAAAGTTTTTCCTGCTCAGTCCTTGGCACTATAGGGCTTTCTAGCACGTTTCATTCATTCACCAGGGAAATAGTGGTATAGGCACCTGCCTGGCAAGCACAAGGTCCTGAGTTCAATCCCTGGTACTCTGAAAAAGAAAAAAAAATGTATTAATAATGTATTCATTCACTCACTGTAACATATTCACATGTGCCCTGGGTACTCACCACTCCCTTGTATGCTGACCTAAGCCTTCCAGTTAGGCACACCTGATGACAGGCCCTGGCCTAGCAGGCTGACAGTGTTAGAGCATTTCTCTGTCCCCCAGCAGCCCTACTGGCAGATTTTTGGGTGTTGGAATCTCCTTCTGGAAGTGGTTTTTAGATTCTTTCTGTCCTGAGCAAAGAATTGGTCAAGACAAGCACAAATAGCCGCCACCTTTTATTAAAGGTAGGAAAAGCAACAGGCTCTGCAGAGCAAGTTTGGGCCAAGTAAAAGTAGGAAAGAAGTACACTGCATGAGGGTGGCCTCTATGCAAGACAGAACACAGAAGCAAAACGCTTCACACCTGTCCTTTTCAAGTCCCTCACGCCGATGTCACATCTAGGTCCCCTATTAAAAACCTGTTGAGATCTCAGGAGAAGTCCACATTCAGGGCACTGGGGGATTTTTTTTTTTTTTTTTTTTTTTTTTTATGGGTTTAGAACTCACGCTTGCGCGCTTTTTTGGCTAGCTCAGGCTACCTTAAGGGTGGCTTGTGGAGCTTGGGATAGAACCTTGGTCCCCTGTGCCTGACTGAGTTTGCTCAAGCAGATGCTTTAAACAACTGAGCTAACCTGCAAGCCCCCTAGGATCTGGGAACTGCTCTGCACATGTATCCTGGGTGGCTGGGAAGTCTGAGATCACAGTGCTGTAAGCATCATCATGAGGGCTTTGAGCTACTGGTGGAAAGCTTTGTGGTGAAAAACAGAGCAAATGTCCAGTTTGGGAAAGGGCAAAACCTGAGGGGCTCCCTTGCTGTGTGAAAGCCTGCCCCCTGGGTGACTACCCAGTGCCATGGGAGAGGGCTCACTCTCTATGGAGGAGTTAACCCAGTCCTGTGGAAAATAAATAAGTCCCAAACAAGTTGCCCAGTCTGACTTGGAGCTCTTTTTTTTTTTTTTTTAACAGAACCAGGGATTGAACTCAGGCCCTTGGGGGCTGGGGAGATGGCTCAGTAGAACAAGCACTTGTCTGGCAAGCGCAAGGGCCTGAGTTCAATCCCCGGTTCTGCCAAAAAAAAAAAGAAAGAATGAACTCAGGCCCTTGCGCTTGCCAGACAAGTGCTTACTCTACTGAGCTAATCTGCCAGGCCCGAGTTTGAGCTTTTTAATCCTGCCATAGCCTGCTTCAGCCTTTCCAGAGTGCTGGGATTACAGGTGTGTACCCCCAGGGAATCCCTCTTAATAGCCAAGTCACCTCTTCAAGGTTGCTCCTTCCTACACTGCCACAGATAGTCACGGTCAAATTTCAGCATGAGTTTCAAGGGGCCCATCTATATCAGGCCCCAGCACTCACCCATCTGTAAAATGAGGCCAGCCAGGTGCGGTGGTGCACTCCTGTAATCCCAGCACTTGGAAGGCTGAAGCGAGACCAATCTGGGCTACAAGGTGAGCTCAAGGCCATCCTGAACTGCAGAGTGAGACCTTGTCAGAAAAAAACACAACAAAAATGAGGCCCTCAGACTGTCCACCTCATAGGGTTGTTCCACAGATTGGCTGACTGAAGACCATAGAGTTCTCAGCACAGTATGGGCAGGTGGGAAGGGTCCTCAGTGCCCCATCAGTGGAGGAAGTGAGGCAGAACAATCTCTGGGGGGACCAGGGAGATAGCTCAGTAAAATAAGTGCTTGCCTGGCAAGTGCAAGGGCCTGAGTTCAATCCCTGGTTCCACCAAAAATAAATAAATAAATAAATAAAAAATAAAAATAAAAAAAAGAACAATCTCTGGGCTCAAAATCCTCACCCCCTGCCTACCATGGATTAGCCCATTTATGACAAGTGGCAAGTGCTTTCATTGTCCTGTGCCTCAGTTTCCTTGCTGGCACAGTGGGATTACACAAGTCCTTCTTCCTTGGGCTGCTGTGGAGGGCAAATATGGCACGCAGAAGAGCTCAGGAAGGGCTCCCTCGGGGTCTTTCGTTGTTGGGCATCTAGTGTGCATTATGACCCTGTAGGGATGAGTGGGCCTTTGTTGCATCCTCTGATGAGGAAGGCATCTTCACACCTCCAAGTCATGGATGTGAAACAGAGGTTCAGCAAGGTTTGAGGTTACACAGAGTGTCACAGCTGATAGAGGTGGTATGGGGACCAGAATCTGAGGCAGGTTGTTTCAGCTGATTCAGATATTCCTCCCCCAACCCCCCACACAAGGCACTGTGATTCAAGTTTGCAGGAAGAAGGGGAGGAGAGTGGGGCAAGCTGAAGGGAAGCCACGATTTCTACTTTCCCAGAAATGGAAGTTCTTGATGAGGTCTGCCGTGGTGTGGTTGGGGCTGGCCCAGCAGAAAAGCAACCAGTGGTCAGGCCTGGGAGTCATTAGACACAGCCCACTTGGCAGGCCTCAGGGCAAAGACTGCCTTTGGAACAGCACTAGGATTTCAGCCTGGGAAGCTGATGCCTCAGCCTGAGCATAGCTGCA